GTACACCTACAGTTCATTTCATGGTTGCTCAACAGTTGATTTCATGATCACAGATTTAGATCCATTCTCTTTCAGAGCATTCACAGTCAAACCACTAACACCCCTATCAGACCACAGTCAAATGACTGTTTACCTAAAGAGGACAACAAATACCAACATACATTCACAGCCCAGTAAGCTGTACAACATTAGAGAGAATTACAGATGGGCACAAAACAGCACAGAAAAATATGTGACCGCAACTGGCCATCCAAAAGTATGCCTACTTATAGACAATTTTCTAGGAAGAATTTATCCTCACAATGGCAGTGGAGAACATAAATTATATATTTAAATATTTGGCCAATTTATCTAACCTCACATCCTCTAAGAAAATCCATAAAACAACACAAGAAAATGAAAAATGGTTTGATTTAGGCTGTAAAACCATGAGGAAAAAATTAAGACAATTATCAAATCAAAAACACAGACAACCAAACAATGAAGATTTACGCCATCAATATTGTGAAGAACTTAAACAGTATAAAAGTACACTCAGAAAAAAGAAAGAACAGTACATCCAAAATCAACTAAAAGCTATTGAAGAATCCGTAAATTCTAACAATTTCTGGGACAACTGGAATTACTTGCATAAAAAACATCATGAACAAGCAGCCATACTAAACGGAGACACCTGGAAAAATCACTTTGAACAACTCTATAGTGAAATTACAATGAACCCAGAACAAACCCAAAAATATGAAAAAGTGATTCATATGGAACATACAATTGGTAAATATCAAAACCCATTAGACTACCCCATTACAGAAAATGAACTGATTGATAAAATCCAGGCCCTAAAAAACAAAAAAGCAAGTGGAGCAGATGGCATCCTCAATGAAATGCTCAAGAACACAGAGCACAAATTAAGATTGGCCCTACTAAAACTGTTCAACTTGGTTCTGAGTGTTGGTAATTTCCCTGAAACCTGGAATCAAGGAATCATAACGCCCATATTCAAGAGTGGAGACAAATCAGACCCCAACAACTACAGAGGCATCTGTGTAAGCAGTAATCTGGGGAAGCTGTTCTGCAATATCATCAACACAAGACTTGTACACTTCCTCACAGAGCACAATGTCCTCAGCAAAAGTCAGATTGGATTCTTACCAAATTATAGAACAACAGACCACATCTTCACCCTACACACCCTGATCGACAAATACGTTAACCAAAACAAAACCAACATTGTTGCTTGCTTTGTAGATTTCCAAAAGGCCTTTGATTCAATTTGGCATGAAGGTCTGTTGTCAAAAAGTGATGCGCCCACCCACACACACAAAAACACACACACACAACACCACACACACAAACAAAAACACACCACACCACACACACCACATTGAATTATAAATTGTTCGTAGAATTCTACGATTCTAAAATGTTAATTTGTTTTACTTTTTAAATGTATATACACATGCATGTTTTTGTTGCATATATATCTGTAAACGCTATGCTTTGGCAATACATTGTAACAATTGTCATGCCAATAAAGCACATATTGGACAGAGCGAGAGAGCAAGAGAGAGATCACAGTGGAGTCAGCTGTCTTAACCGTGGCTTGTGTACTGCAAACACATACCAGCTTCATCACTGTGTCTGTCACGCGACTCTGTTCCCCTTTCGGGCTCTGTCTTTACATTTATTTTGAAAGCTGACGCTCGCGATTATGGTAAGGGGCGTTACATTTCCGACGAGTGCTTGCGGTGTTCGGCCAATCACAATGCACTGGGTCAGCTGGCCAATCAGAGAAGACTGCGCTTGTCGGAAGGAGGGACTTTGTAGAAAACGAAGCGTTTGAGAGAGGCGGGGCATAGAGGACCTACAATAATGTACAGTATTTGAAAAATAATGTGTTTTTTAAACATTAGAGCATGTCAACATATTTTGTTACACCAAATACACAAAATAATGATCTTTAAAAAAAGCATCATATGACCCCTTTAAGAATCAATATTGGTTCATAAAAATGAAAATCTATTAAAATCGAGAAATCGTTTTTTTTTTTGTTTTGTTTTTAACCCAGCCCTAGTATGTTTAGTTGTTTACAGTGGCCTCCGCTGTCACTGCGGTGTGTTGAACATGAAAAGTGACGCAGTCTCTGTTTATCTGTTCTTATCATAAATAAATAAAAATGCATAAGCATATATGCTCGTCCTGTAGGCTCATTATTAAAAGTTAAAATGTGAACAAAACTACAAGCAGTTAAATGTGTTGTTATAAATAAAGTATGAAAATTAAAATGACGGATAATAATGGATTATGACGTAATGTTTACGACCTTGTGTGTCAGAATGACGGTCGATGCTAGAGTCTGGTGGAGTGTGATGTGTGTGTGTGCTGTGCTCCGCAGGTCTGTCCATACACACCTTCCACGGGAACTTCTTCGTGCGCTCCACAGATCTGCTGTCTCTGGCCAACGTGAACCCCGACGCCGGCTTCGCCGTGCAGATGAGCATCGAAGAGAACCTGCTGGACCTGCAGACTGTGTCCTTCCAGGCCGCGCTGCTCTACACCTCCAGCAAAGGTGCGCGCCACTCCTCAGGTCAGCTGACCGTCGTCATGTGACGCTCACGGTGCTCCTCTGTGCTGTTGCAGGAGAGCGGCGGATCCGTGTGCACACGCTGTGTTTGCCCGTGGTCACTTCTCTGTCGGACATCTTCGCTGGAGCCGATGTCCAGGCCATCACGGCTCTTCTGGCCAGCATGGGTACGGCTGCAGCTCTGCGCTGTGATGATTTCTGCTAACAGACCTTCAGGACACACTTAAAGGCCCAAAAACCTTCCTCCTCGCATGACGCAACCTCATACAGAACCAACAACGAATTAAGGACACACACACAGATAGATTATCAATAATATATAATAAACTATCAAGAAATATGATATGAAAAAATACAGTATAATTTAATAAACTAGCAATTGTGAATAAAATAGAAAGAAAATTATAAATATTTTATAAAATATAATGAAATATCAAGAAATATTTACATTTAGTCATTTAGCAGACGCTTTTATCCAAAGCGACTTACAAATGAGGACAATAAAAGCAGTCAAAACTAACAAAAGAGCAACAATATATAAGTGCAAATGACAAGTCTCGGTTAGCCTAACACAGTACACGTAGCAAGGTATATATATATATATATTATACACACACACATATACACACACACACACAAAGAAAAACAAGTAGATAGAATAGAAAAAAATAGAAAGCTAGTGTTTGTTTGTTTGTTTTTTTTTTATTTTTTTTTTTTAAATAAAGATAAATATAGATAAAGTAGAATTAAAATAGAATAGAAAGTGTTAGAGTTAGAGGGTCAAATAAAGGTGGAACCGATGTGTTTTTAGTCGTTTCTTGAAGATGGTTAAGGATTGAGTTGGGCAGGTCATTCCACCAGGAGGGAACAGTTAATGAAAAAATGGTTGATGTTAATGAAAAAATAATGGTTTAAGGTGCAAGAGGACACTGAGAACATTGCCATGGAAGATATATTGAACAAATGATGGAAGCTTTATGCTTTCAGTTCCACAAACCTAATGCTTTCACTTCTACATGCAGGTAAGGTGGTGTGGGTTTATAATGTGGACTATCTGGGATGATTTTGAAATGACTCTAAAATGGTTAAATGCTTTTCACTGAAATAATTAGCCTGATGAGATGTGTGCAAACCTTCAGAGGCCTTCCAGGACTTCCACATATCCTCCACTGTGATCAACAGATCTGCTCTATGGAAGCTGTTGTGTTTTCCTTTAGGGTCGTGGTACTTCAAGTCTTCCCTTAGAGGTAAGACTCAAACCACTGGCGTGCAGTTCCTGAGATGCCTAAATATGATATGAAAAACATTGAATACAATAAACTAGCAATAAACAAATAAAATGGAAAATAAATTATACATTATAATACAATAAATTCAAGAAATATATAAATAAAATAGAATAAATCTAGTAAATTATTAATAAATGTAATTAAAATAGAAAATAGAACAAATATATAATATAATTAACTTCCAAGAAGTACGATGTGAATAAAATAGAGTATAAATATAATAAATTAGCTGTAACAAGAATAAAATTGAAAATAATAGAATAAAATAGAAATATGTAAAATTGAATAAACTATTTTATTATAATAAAATAGAAATAATGTAATAAACGGTGTTAAAAATGGAAATCAAATATAATATAAACTATTAATAAACATAATCTTGATAAAATGGGAAATGGAGCATAAATAATATAATAAACTCAAACGTTATGCGAATACAACAGAAAATAGAAAGGAGAAAAGAATAGAGCAAAGATTTTTATAATGAATTATAAATACGGATTATTCTGTCCTCTTGAGTTTCTTTCTTCTGCAGATGCCAGAGATATTTAGAAGAATATAGAAGGCATTCATATAGAATTGAACTCAGATGAATATCAGATATTGATTGATGCTTATCCACTCTGAACTGTTTTATAATATCAGTTTGGCTTCTTCTATGGAGTCGAGTGTTTCGTAATGTGAAGCCATCAGACTCGGCGCTCATGTTCCAGATCTCAGGAGTAGCAGAGGTTTCTACATTCTGATATGAAGCGTTGTAATGGAGTGTTTGATGTGTGTTTGTTCTGATGTGTGTTTGTGATTCAGCTGTGGATCGCTGTGTGACGGCGAGTCTGAGTGATGCTCGTGACGCTCTGATCAACGCTGCGATCGACACGCTGGCGTCCTACCGCTCCTCAGTGCTGACCGTCCCTCAGCCTGGCCTGCTGACCCCCGCCTGCCTGCGCCTGCTCCCGCTCTACATCCTGGCCCTGCTCAAACACGTACGTCACACACGCACACTCCTCACCACTCGCTCACACACACGCACACTCCTCACCACGCGCTCGCACACACGGACACTCCTCCCCACACGCTCGCACACACACGCACACTCCTCGCCACACGCTCGCACACACGCACACTCCTCGCCACACGCTCGTACACACGCACACTCCTCACCACACGCTCGCACACACAGACACCCCTCACGCACACTTCTCGCCACTCGCTCACACACACGGACACTCGTCCCCTACACGCTCGCCACTCGCTCACACACATGCACACTCCTCGCCACACGCTCGCACACACGCACACTCCTCACCACACGCTCGCACACACAGACACTCCTCACGCACACTTCTCGCCACTCGCTCACACACACGGACACTCGTCCCCACACGCTCGCCACTCGCTCACACACATGCACACTCCTCGCCACACGCTCGCACACACGGACACTCCTCAGGCACACTTCTCGCCACACGCTCACACAGACGGACACTCCTCCCCACACGCTCGCACACACACGCACACTCCTCCCCACACGCTCGCAGACACGCACACTCCTCGCCACACGCTCACACACACGCACACTCCTCGCCACACGCTCACACACACGCATATGAAATTAAATTAAGGTCAAGGTCAAGTTTATTTATATAGCACCTTAAAAGCAACGAGTGCTGACCAAGGTGCTGCACAACCAAAAACATCAGAAAAATCAACTAACAAAAGCATTAAGACAATATAAAATTTGAAATCATTAAATAATACAATAAGTAATGCAAGACATCACCAAACAAAGAAACAAACAGAAAGTATTTTCAAGTTAAGCAAAAGCCTGAGAAAAAAAATATGTTTTAAGAGATGATTTAAAAGAAGATAACGTAGGGGATGATCTGATGGATAAAGGCAAAGAGTTCCAGAGTGTAGGACCAAGAACTGAAAAAGCTCTGTTCCCTTTATATTTTAAACGAGATATTGGGACAATCAATAACTTCTGAGAAGACGATCTAAGTGTTCTCACAGGAGAATAGAAATGGAGAAGATCTGAAATGTAAATTGGGGCAAGACCATGAAGTGCTTTAAAAACTAAAACCTTAAAATCAACTCTGAATTTAACAGGTAAGCAGTGAAGTGAAGCTAACACGGGGTAATATGCTCCCTCTTTTTTGTCCCTGTCAGAAAGCGAGCAGCAGCATTCTGTACCAATTGTAAACGTGATAGTGAAGACTGGTTAATTCCAGCATAAAGAGCGTTACAGTAATCCAGCCTTGTTGAAATGAATGCATGAATAACAACCTCTAAATCATTAAAACTGAGAAAACTTTTCAGCTTGCGAAGCCCTTTAAGCTGCAAAAAACTGGCTCTGACTACAGAGTTAATTTGTTTGTCAAATTTCAATTCAGGATCAAAAATAACTTCCAGATTTTTAAACTTTTCATGGATGTTTTCTTCAAAAGGGCCCAGAGTAGGTCTTAAATTATGTAAATGGTGAGAAGGGCCAAACAATATAACTTTCTAATCTTTTTTTGATTAAACTGTAGGAAATTATTTTCCATCCAATTCTTGATGTCTTCTAAACAAGCCAGCAAGGAAGACACTGAATCAGAACCTGATTTTAGAGGAAAATAAAGCTGAGTGTCGCCTGCGTAAATGTGGTATGAAACTTTGAGACTCAAATATAAAACGAAGAGGGAGCAAATACAGGGAGAATAAAATTGGACCCAAAATAGAGTCCTGGGGTACTCCACAAGTGATGGGAACTGAGCTTGATGAAAATTCACCAATTTCCACCGAAAAGCTCATATTTGTGAGATACGATGCAAACCAGTCTAATGCAGTACCACAAATGCCAACCTCAAGATTTAATCTTTTTAACAGTATGCGGTGATCTACTGTATCGAAAGCTGCGCTCAAGTCCAATAATAAGAGAATAGTACAGTTACCAGTGTCTGCAGATAACAAGAGATAATTTACTACTCTTAAAAGAGCTGACTCAGTACTATGTTTTGCTCTAAAATTAAGGACATGCATCAGAAAAATTAGGAATGTTGGACAATAAATATATAACCGGAATATAACAGCTTGACAGTAAACCGTTTTTGCAGTATTGTCTTATATTAATGTCCGTTAAACGAAGACTGTAAAGAAAAAACTTTTTTGATGTAAAAAAAAAAACACACACACTCACACACACTCACTCACACTCATGCACACGCACTCACACACACACACACATGCAGCCACGGTCTCCAAAAATGATTTAATTATGACAGACACTGCAATGCATGTTTATAGTGTGTTCCAGGGGATTAAAACATACAATATATATTTCAGACCTAGTGGAGCAATAGTAACTAATAATAGTAATAGTAAATGTGTAAAGTTGCGTAAGCTCATTCTAACTTGGTGTCATATCCATATAAATCATTATTATGGTTTCTATGGCTAGGACCTGCAGTTCCTAAAAGGAATTGAGTTTACTACTAGACTAAAAACAGTTAAAGTTAGGTTACGTCCCACTTCAAAACACACAATATTGTTACACTTTTGTGAATAATCACCTGTCAGGGTCTTCGGGAAAACGATGAAAGGCAAGATTTTTACTGTCACACTGATAGTTTTTGTTGTTATTCTGTCGGTTTCTGTGTATCTGTGCTTCCTCCTCCTCAGAAAGCCTTCCGGACGAGCGGCGGCCGGCTGGACGAGCGTGTGTTTGCCATGTTTCAGCTCAAGCAGCAGCCGCTGGCCTTCCTCCTGATGATGGTGCATCCGGACCTGTACCGCGTCGACCAGCTCACAGACGAGGTCAGGCTTTCATCACAGATACATGACGCTCAATAACACCTTACAAACATGTAGGGCTGGGTTTTGAAAACCCGTTCCGTTTTAGAACTGATTCCAAATTCCCAAGAACTGGGTGTTTGATGAGACGCAGGCATTTCCATTCTGCTTAATGATTCCAGCGTTCGCATTTTAATGTGATTTAAAATGATTTAAGTGCAGGAACGGAAAGAATTTGTGCCTTGTTTGCTGAAGCGCGAGCACAGAGAACATCGGTCCCGATCTGTGTCCGTTCTCTAACCGTTCTGTGTATTTCACTGCAGAAAACTACGTCAGTATATCATCATAAACACAGCCGTTTTTATCTGAAGTGAAAGTAAAGATGAGAAAGAAAACGCTCGTGGTACAGTATTTTTAGATCTGCGTGCGTTCAGTGTTAAAGAGACAGCAGTCTAATAAACGCGCTTCCTGTCATTAATCAAAGAACAAAAGAAAATCATTCACTGATCTTGACTGAATATCTCTAATAACTTTAATTAATAATCTATATTTTATTTATGAAAAGAAATCTACGCAGTGTTTTTAAACTTTTAATTATTTTCTGTACCTGTAATTTAGTTCAGTTGTATTTAATTTATGCTATTGCTAATTGATTTGTTTGTTCCTATTTTATTACTGACTGTTAACTTGTCTTTAACACTTTAATATTTGAAATTTATATGTCTAGCTGTTTTTACTGTGGTATTTTTGTTAAAAGCATTGATTTTTGCTTATGTTATTCAGCTGCAACAGAATGATTTTTAAAGACACAGAATAAATGTTTGACATCTAAGTGTTTGACTTCATTTTTTTTTATATTGGATTTTTTAAATCTTATTGGTATCGAAACTAGGAATTGATAAGAATCGGAATAAATAAGCAGAATCGGAATTGATCAAATTCAAACGATACCCAACCCTACATGTTCTTAATATCAAATATAGATCCAACCATATGAGTCCAGTGTCTTTACAGCATTAAATTGTGCTGGTTTAAGTTCTCTTAGGAAATTATATAGGGCCCATTGAAATCCATTTATTTATTTATTAATTTCCCACCAAATTCCATTTTATTTTATTTTTTCAAAATTAATTTTTTTCCATTTTAATTTTCTGGATTCCTTTTTTCCGTTTTTATTTTTTAGACTCCATTTTAATGGTTAAATTAAAGTTTATTAATCAAAAAGCATGTCTTGAAATCATGAAGCTTATAGAGTTTAACAGCAATTTATTAAAAGCTTAACAAAAGTTACATTTTTTAGTGCCCTATAAAATACATTTTATTTTATTTTTTTCTAGTAATCAAATGAAGGCATACAACAATAATTAAATTTTTTTGTAATTTCAATGGAAATTAAACCCTTGGGTTACCAAAATAAACAAATCCATCATTAAGAGGTTTTATGCAGTACCACAAATGCCAACCTCAAGATTTAATCTTTTTAACAGTATGCGGTGATCTACTGTATCGAAAGCTGCGCTCAAGTCCAATAATAAGAGAATAGTACAGTTACCAGTGTCTTCTGCAGATAACAAGAGATCATTTACTACTCTTAAAAGAGCTGACTCAGTACTATGTTTTGCTCTAAAATTAAGGACATGCATCAGAAAAATTAGGAATGTTGGACAATAAATATATAACCGGAATATAACAGCTTGACAGTAAACCGTTTTTGCAGTATTGTCTTATATTAATGTCCGTTAAACGAAGACTGTAAAGAAAAAACTTTTTTGATGTAAAAAAAAAAACACACACACTCACACACACTCACTCACACTCATGCACACGCACTCACACACACACACACATGCAGCCACGGTCTCCAAAAATGATTTAATTATGACAGACACTGCAATGCATGTTTATAGTGTGTTCCAGGGGATTAAAACATACAATATATATTTCAGACCTAGTGGAGCAATAGTAACTAATAATAGTAATAGTAAATGTGTAAAGTTGCGTAAGCTCATTCTAACTTGGTGTCATATCCATATAAATCATTATTATGGTTTCTATGGCTAGGACCTGCAGTTCCTAAAAGGAATTGAGTTTACTACTAGACTAAAAACAGTTAAAGTTAGGTTACGTCCCACTTCAAAACACACAATATTGTTACACTTTTGTGAATAATCACCTGTCAGGGTCTTCGGGAAAACGATGAAAGGCAAGATTTTTACTGTCACACTGATAGTTTTTGTTGTTATTCTGTCGGTTTCTGTGTATCTGTGCTTCCTCCTCCTCAGAAAGCCTTCCGGACGAGCGGCGGCCGGCTGGACGAGCGTGTGTTTGCCATGTTTCAGCTCAAGCAGCAGCCGCTGGCCTTCCTCCTGATGATGGTGCATCCGGACCTGTACCGCGTCGACCAGCTCACAGACGAGGTCAGGCTTTCATCACAGATACATGACGCTCAATAACACCTTACAAACATGTAGGGCTGGGTTTTGAAAACCCGTTCCGTTTTAGAACTGATTCCAAATTCCCAAGAACTGGGTGTTTGATGAGACGCAGGCATTTCCATTCTGCTTAATGATTCCAGCGTTCGCATTTTAATGTGATTTAAAATGATTTAAGTGCAGGAACGGAAAGAATTTGTGCCTTGTTTGCTGAAGCGCGAGCACAGAGAACATCGGTCCCGATCTGTGTCCGTTCTCTAACCGTTCTGTGTATTTCACTGCAGAAAACTACGTCAGTATATCATCATAAACACAGCCGTTTTTATCTGAAGTGAAAGTAAAGATGAGAAAGAAAACGCTCGTGGTACAGTATTTTTAGATCTGCGTGCGTTCAGTGTTAAAGAGACAGCAGTCTAATAAACGCGCTTCCTGTCATTAATCAAAGAACAAAAGAAAATCATTCACTGATCTTGACTGAATATCTCTAATAACTTTAATTAATAATCTATATTTTATTTATGAAAAGAAATCTACGCAGTGTTTTTAAACTTTTAATTATTTTCTGTACCTGTAATTTAGTTCAGTTGTATTTAATTTATGCTATTGCTAATTGATTTGTTTGTTCCTATTTTATTACTGACTGTTAACTTGTCTTTAACACTTTAATATTTGAAATTTATATGTCTAGCTGTTTTTACTGTGGTATTTTTGTTAAAAGCATTGATTTTTGCTTATGTTATTCAGCTGCAACAGAATGATTTTTAAAGACACAGAATAAATGTTTGACATCTAAGTGTTTGACTTCATTTTTTTTTATATTGGATTTTTTAAATCTTATTGGTATCGAAACTAGGAATTGATAAGAATCGGAATAAATAAGCAGAATCGGAATTGATCAAATTCAAACGATACCCAACCCTACATGTTCTTAATATCAAATATAGATCCAACCATATGAGTCCAGTGTCTTTACAGCATTAAATTGTGCTGGTTTAAGTTCTCTTAGGAAATTATATAGGGCCCATTGAAATCCATTTATTTATTTATTAATTTCCCACCAAATTCCATTTTATTTTATTTTTTCAAAATTAATTTTTTTCCATTTTAATTTTCTGGATTCCTTTTTTCCGTTTTTATTTTTTAGACTCCATTTTAATGGTTAAATTAAAGTTTATTAATCAAAAAGCATGTCTTGAAATCATGAAGCTTATAGAGTTTAACAGCAATTTATTAAAAGCTTAACAAAAGTTACATTTTTTAGTGCCCTATAAAATACATTTTATTTTATTTTTTTCTAGTAATCAAATGAAGGCATACAACAATAATTAAATTTTTTTGTAATTTCAATGGAAATTAAACCCTTGGGTTACCAAAATAAACAAATCCATCATTAAGAGGTTTTTAACTAAAAGGCCATAATCCATAATAATGCTTCCTCCAGTGAAAAAGTGTTCTGGTCTGAATCAGGAGAGAAATCTGCACAGATCAAGCAGCGTTTAAACAGCTCTAAACACATATGTGGCTGGATTTTGATGTGAGAGACAACAGCAGATGCACTTTTTCACTGGAGGAAGCGTTATTATGGATTATGGACTGTTTAGTGACTGTTTAAGGACAGCTTTTCACTTCTCAAGACGTACGATGGCAGAGATCATCATCGTGAGCTGATCAGCGGTGGGTTTGTGTGAGCGTATGTACCGATGCTTTAGTTTGAAACTGATGTGAGGTTTGTCTCTTGCTATCAGGGGGCTCTGAACATCAACGATCGCACGATTCCTCAGCCCAGAGCTCTTCAGCTGTCTGTGGAGAAGCTGAGCAGAGATGCTGCGTTCCTCATGGACTGCGGCACCGTAAGTACACGCACTCACACGCACACTCACACTCACACGCACTCACACGCACACTCACACGCACTCACACGCACACTTACACGCGCACTCACACGCACTCACACGCGCACTCACGCGCGCACTCACGCGCGCACTCACGCGCGCACTCACGCGCGCACTCACGCGCGCACTCACGCGCGCACTCACGCGCGCACTCACGCGCGCACTCACGCGCGCACTCACGCGCGCACTCACGCGCGCACTCACGCGCGCACTCACGCGCGCACTCACGCGCGCACTCACGCGCGCACTCACGCGCGCACTCACGCGCACTCACACGCGCTCACACGCACACTCACACACACTCACTCACTCACACACACACTCTCACTCACTCACTCACTCAGAGACACACACACACACTCACTCAGAGACACACACTCACACACACACACACTCTCTCACACGCGCACACTCACACACACCCTCACTCACACACTCACTCACACCACACACACACACACTCACTCACTCACACACACACTCTCCCTCACTCACCCTCACACACACACACACTCTCACTCACTCACTCAGAGACACACACACGCACTCTCACTCACACGCACTCTCACTCACACGCACTCTCACTCACACGCGCACACACACACACACTCACTCACACACACACACTTCATCTGTCACTTCAGTGTTAATGAAAGTAAGGCAGAATCTGGCTGGTTATTATCACTTATACTACGGGGCCGTTGAATGCTTGAATCTGATTGGCTGATGAACGTTCTAAGGTGTGCAATTCTTTTCAGGGAAATTATTTTCTTGACCGCATTACATGACCATATCACTTCACCAAATTATTTGAGTTATTTCAAAGGTCCTCGCAGCCTACAACAGCAAAAGAACCAAAACCCACAACGACACTGGCCAAACAAATAAATACAGTAAACAATTAGAATAAAAACGATAGATAATTTCCATGTGTTTTTGCCACAAAATTACGTTTCATTACATACGGAAAGCACTTACTCTATCTCTCCCGCTCTCTCCCTCACAGACGCAAACACAGTTTGCACACACGCTAACATACGCACTAATGTTGTTAGCGCTACTCTGACGATTTTATCAGTATAGTTTAACAACTTAAAAATGACATGACTTCTCACATGCGAAGTAACAACGGCACTGTTCTTGCAGAAAATTAACTTAGTTTCACTATTACTAGAGACATTGCTGTCAAACACTGTTGAGAGACACACAGGCTCAGAGAGATACATCATCTCTCTCTCTAATAACTTAGTTATTAGCTGCATTAGTCTGCTATCAACGGCTCAAGCCTCGGTTACTAGGTCTAAAGTGACGTGGAATTAGCAACAGAGGCGTTGGATGAGATGCGTAATAAATTAATCCTACTCACAATAGTGTTTTAAGAATGAAAACCAGACAAATGCCTTGAAATATATAATCTGATCGATGTCTTGATGTGTGGTAACCGTAGTATAAGCAGAATAATTGACTTCGGTCCGTTGAATTATTAGAAAATAATGCACACCCGAGGTGTAACTGTAACTTCGCTTCACATCGTGACCGTCATCACTTATTCCTTACAGAATGAGTCTGTCATGATCAGGACATGAGAACAGCTGATGAGCTACACATCTTACTGACTCACTAATGAAGCTTCTGCGAATAAAACAAGCTTTGAGCCTGGACAAAAAAACAAGTTCTAACAAGATGAACATTTAAGGATAATGTGTACAGCACTTATGCAGCTTTTCACAAGCATCATAATTACATGGACATGAACGATGTGTTGTTGTGTGACCGCTTCTCCTCAGGTCATGTATCTGTGGGTGGGAAGAAACTGCAGCCCGGTGTTCCTCACACAAGTGCTGGGAACGGACAGTTATGCTGACGTTCCTCTCAACATGGTAAACTCAGTCACAAACACTGCATTATTCACTTACCTTACAAAACAATGCCGCTTTTCTACTAACAACTCACTTTGTCCAGCAAGTGTTTTTTTATGTTTTTGCATATATCTCTATCACTTACGAATGATTGCAAATGCTGCTGTTCATCACTGCTAGACCTCATTAGAAATTATTTCATTAAACCTCATAAAAAATTATTTATTGGTTTTATTAGTGGTATTTTATGTAAATAAATGCTGTTTAATGTTATCGCCCTTAATGAGGTTGTTTTGTGCCAGATAATATTGCTCTGATGCAGGCCATTTTAATCAAAGATGTTGTTTGTCCCTCAATGGCTTCAGTAAATTGAACATGTCAGTAGCTCAGAGTTCAGCTGACTGATTTTTCAGCAGCAGTATGTGCTGCAGGGTTCCTATGAGTTTGTAAAACTATGAAATTTGATTCGAGTACTTTCCAGGTCTGGAAAAGCATGGAAAAAAAGAAAGCGTAGTATGAAAAAAATATTTGCATTTCCAGTCTTTTTCCCCTATTTAGTTTTCTATAATAGAAAATTTAGAATTTAATGAAAATAAATGTATCATACAAGAAGTGTTTTCATAGCAGCTGTTTAATGATTCTTTAGCGACTGAATGAAATGCAGGTTATAGGTATTTTTCTTCTCACGATGTTCTTAGCACCATATTACAAAGTCTCTAAACGGATTTGTGCAAAAATCTCTGTTTGTGCACGAGAAACCATTAAACTTAGCAAATAGGATGAAGCTGACGGAGTCACATATTGCGCCATCAGCCCATTTCACGGTGTGGTTTCTTGGCCACCACACAGTATGAGTTAAAGTAGACTTAAGGCCTTGAATTAAGACATACTGCCCTAAAGAGAGCCAAATTTTGAACACTTTTTTTTACAGTACCAGTCTGTTTTATAGACCTTTGAACTTGGCAAATAGGGCAATGCACAAAGCCGTATTATGCCATCAACCCATTTCGTGTCATGGTTTCTCCACTGTGTGTTAAAGTGGACATTAAGCCTTGATATTAGAGGAACTCCCCTAAGGAAAGCCATGAGAAAATCAATGAATAAACCCCTGAGAAAATAAAAATATTTACAGATGACCATACTATATACCAAATATAAATCTTAAAATAATGCTCCTTTTATGTTAAATATGGTTTGAAGATCTACCGAGAGGTTTGGAAATATGAAAAAAGTATGGATTTTGAAATGGGAAATGTGTAGGAACCCTGGAGCTGACCTCATCAACAGCAGTATGTAGATATTAGCAATAATACAGAGTGATTGGTCAAGCTGGTTTAAACGAGCAGAAGTGAATCGGCTGAGATCTGGAGTGTAACATGTGGTTTCTCCTCTCAGATCCAGCTTCCAGAGCTGGACACGGTCCAATCTTCACGACTGCGAGCGTTCGTCGACTGGCTGAGAGAACGCCGGCCGTTCCACGCCGTCCTGCACGTCATCAGGTCAGAGATAATCAACACAGTGCATGTTCTCCTCCAGACAGCGAGCAGAGATGAATCCCTCTCAGTCTGACCTTGTTCACCTGTTAATGTCAATATCAAATGCAAAATACCTGTCATGGAGAAATATGACACTCAAACCGCCAGTAGGTGGCGGCAGATCCCTGTCGTTATGAGTGATTCATTTCATGATTCTGTCAGTGATTCATTCAAAGCAACTGATTCATTTAGAAACAAAGCAAGTGACTGTCTTTATTAAGGCTGCCCCCTAATAGTCGACTAACCGTTAGTCGACCAGAATTTTATTAGTCGCAGAAAAAAATAATAAAAATCCACATTGGCAAAGTGACACAGATTGTTAATGGCTAGTCTATGTGGTAGGCTAGTACAGTACTCAGGCAGGACATCCAAACACTCGCCTATCATACATTGACCTCAAATATGACTTATCTGAAATATGTAAGTATTAGCAACTTTACATGACCGCTCAATCTAATGTTAACCCAGAGAAATGTGCACTGTTCAAGCGTCTGTGTGGAGTGAGAAGCTGAACTGTAGATCACTGCAGGACAGATGGAGGCGCCGGTGCGCTCACATGCTCTTAAAATACTCCCTCATTTGTGCTTATACAGATAAGAGTAATACATCTTTCAAATCTGTAAAGACACTACGTTTATTTGTGTGCACTCACAATAAACCCAAAACGTTGCGCTTTTGTAAAATAATGAAAGCAAACAGGATGTGCTTTCTGCTGTCTCGGTCTCTGTGAACTGTGTATGCTTGCCTTAGAGACATAAAAAAATATATCTATAGAGAGTTAAATGTGTTCTTTCAAATAAACCAATTCAAATGGAAAACAAATATTCTCAGATTATGTAATCCGTATGAAACAAGCATACAGGTGCATCACTACTGCGGAGATGACGAGTCAGTGTCGCCGGCTTCATCTCTTAAATCAAGAACAAAGAAAGCAGCAGTTTATCAATGAATTATTAAAATGTTAATGCAGCCTCCTTACTGTTTTTCCCTGACACATACATAATCATTACTTCTTCCAGTGCGTTTGAGTGCTCATCATGCTATGTACTGTAGGCAATTAAAGGCTCATTATTATGATTTAAATGATTTATTCATAAATGTGCGATTAGTCGACTAATGCTTAAAATTAACGACTAGTCGACCAGACAAATCTTTAGTCGAGGGCAGCCCTAGTCTTTATGAATGAGTCACTGAAACATTGTCTCAAGATATTCATTCAAAAACAGATTCACTCCAGATCGAAACACCGCTGTGTTGTTCTGAGATGCACAAATATTTTTTTTTTCTTTCATTACTTGAATTATCAACTCATTTTAACTGCATTCTAATAGACTTCATCATGCAGTCCAATGCTTTTGGACTCTCAAGACGTGTTTTCATTTGTTTTTTGCAAAGTGAGTGACATACTCAATAATGTCAGCTCACATATAATGATGTAATGATATTATCCTAGACTATAAATATCACACACCCCTATACCTTACATGATTTCTTTTAATGGAAGGTTTTGAGAAATCTATTCTAATTAATTGGATAACTATATGACTGAGTTTTGCTGATGATCCAGAGCTGTTTTTCTGTCTGAATGACTGAAGAGAGTCTGACGCTCCTCTGTTGATTTCAGAGACGAGTCTCCGCTCAAGGCTGAGTTCATGCAGAACATGATCGAGGATCTCAGTGAATCCGCTCTCTCCTACTACGAGTTCCTCCTGCACCTGCAGCAGCAGATCTCCAAGTGATCCCACAATGCCCGGCTGGAGCCAGACGCAGACCTGCTGTCAATAAAGTCCCGTCTGTGTCACACTACAGCTGTTTGTGAGGAGTGATGCTTGAGTCTGTAGCGCAGACACACGGGTGACATCACATGAGCGCAGATCCTTTCTAATTTATCGCCTTTTACTAAAAAACTAAAATGTAGGAAAATGGTTTCTTATGAATTTCTTACGACCTTTATAAGAAGTGCTATTCAGAGTTAGCGCTTTATAATTAGTGTGGTTATTGTCACAGGTTTATCTGTTCGATCTTCAGGTTTGTCTGTATTCATCAGTCATTGTTTTAATTGATGAGGAAGGCAATGCAGTTGAATTCAATATCTGCCTTAAGTGGGACTCAAGCAAATGTTCTCTGAGAAGAAATGCTTTGTAAGGATGTGACGTTTAACACGGGCAAATTCAGACACTCGACCCTGTGATCTTTACACATTATAAACCTATATTATTTTCAAAAGATTGTTAATTTTAGTAAAAACATTATTCAGATGATGCGAGATGATAAAACAAACTGCTTGGGACTTTAATATTATGTTCCATGAAGAGAGATTTTTAAGAACTGGCTAAATCTATGAAAGCTTTAGGTGAAGTGATCAGCTACAGAGACATGTAGGAAACTATGTGCTTAAAGCTTGAAATATAATCCAAAATACAGAATAAATACAGAGATTTCTCTGCCACTAATAGAGATTTATATTAAATGGCTGGTTGTGAATGGAGAACTGATGAAAGGAGGAGTGAGTGACACAATAATCTGAGCAATCTTCAGTCTTGATTCTGTTCGCAGAAGTTTCTTGCATAATCAAATCCAACATTCAGAGGGATATTTTTTTATATTTAAAAAAATCCTTGTTTCCTCTGCGGTTGTTCAGCTCATTTTAGCACACATGACTGTGTTTTTGAGAAATAATTTGTAAATTCTCTGCAATTTTGTACATGTGAACTTTATAAATTAATGATTATTCATTAAAGAGGAAATGTCGTGTGAGCTCTCCTGAATATCTCCACTTTTTCCACAGTTACTTTGGCGTTTATGCGCTCATGTTCTCTCATTCAGTGCTGAACTAGACCGGACCAGACCAACAACATCAGCAAACATGTTATTCCCCTCCATAATGACTCGATAAAGAGCAGCTTTATTGAAGCGTTGGGTGTTTGCATGAGTGTTAATAAAGACTGGGTTTCAGGATTTATTGCTGCTGCTCTCTACAGCCGCCCATTCAAACAGATGAGTTTGGAATTTAACTTCAAAAAGACAAAAAGATCTTTCTTACATTTGTAACTTGTAAATACTGTTTTGAAGCCAGAATGTAATTTAGCCTACATACTGGGGCAGAAGCAGTGAGTCTTTGTGCAGGCAGTTGGAGAATCAGTCTGAAATTTTACAAAATGTTAATTATTCAACAGCTATTTTTCTTTGAAACACAAGAGTGTTCTCAAAGACTAATGTACTGTTTTATAAACATGAAAATGCAGGGCAATCTCCAGCAGTCGAGTTCAGTTGCAATACGCCCCCTTCCGCGTATTCCTCAGAAGCCTGATTCCATTACACCAGCCCCATTTGGCTGACAGACATGACGTGTCAGGGAGACGCACAACGTTCTTTTTCAAGCATACATTTCGGTGTCTCATTATGGGATATCCTAACTCCTGTATTGCCAGATAGCTTGTCTCAAAGTCGCTTCACAGATATCCTGTATCTTGACCCCTTTAAAGAGAGCCCACGACATTGACATTCCCCTCGTTGAGTGAGCATGTAAACAGGGTGGAGGTGTAAGACCAAGAGAAATTGCCTCCACCTTAAACAGGGTGGAGGTGTAAGACCAAGAGAAATTGCCTCCACCTTAAACAGGGTGGAGGTGTAAGACCAAGAGAAATTGCCTCCACCTTAAACAGGGTGGAGGCGTAAGACCTAGAGAAATTGCCTCCACCATCCAGTGGGATGAACGCTGTTAAGTGCAATACATGCCCAAAACACAAACAGCTGATCACTCTCTCTCAACCCTTTAGTTCTGTGTCAAATCGTAAAGCATGCTCTGGGCATAATGCATTCAGCCTTTGCTGTTCTGCTGAAGCAAAGGGCGGTGGATAAAAGGCTCTTAACTCGAGGAATAATATAATTAACCACTTTGAGCATAAATGCAGTGTTTGGTTTCAAAAGTAACAAGCACCAGAACCAAGAGCCATTCAGAAAAATAAGAAAATGCTTCAATCAATGTTATAAAAACGGCCAGCATTTCCAGGTAGTTTAAGTGTCAGTGGATCAGATGGTGAACCCATCTTCCGTTCACTGTCCTGCCCTTGTGAATGCCCCTCTAGTTGGACAGCGATTATGACTTTCCTGGCCTGGACAACGCCCATGGTATCCCTTGCACCAGAAACGACAGGCGCCGCCAATGACGCAGTGCCAAGACTGCCATCAGACTGGTCTAGTCTCAAATAGGCTGCCTAACATTGGAACTTTCTCATAAATAGTCTGCCTAAGGGAATGACTATTAGAGCTGAGGCCATCTGACCTAATAGTCTGAGGCATGTGCGAAGAGACTGTTTCCCCTCTGAAATTCGGCCAGGCATTGAGTACATTTTATCACGCTTTCCTCTGATAGTCACACTCTGAATGTCACCGAATCCAGTGACCAGCCCAGATATATTATTGACTGCTTGGGAACTAACACAGTCTTTTCTGTGTTTAATTTTAAGCCCAGTCTCTGTAGATCGGGGGTTACCAAACTTGTTCCTGGAGGGCGGGTGTCCTGCAGAGTTTAGCTCCAACCCTAATCAAACACACCTGAACTAGCTAATCAAGGTCTTGCTAGGTATACTTGAAACTTCGGCCCTGTCCCAAATGGAACACTTCATGTGCACTTTCGGTCTTGCAGACTTACAATGGCCGCTGTGTGCGCGTGTCCGTTAAGTCCACGAGACCGTAGGGTGTCCCATTCGTCATTTTAGCACTCAGAAGTGTGCTCGCGAGCACCCCCTTTGCGGCCGCTATGCGCACTTCTGCCGAGCCCGCACTGGGGCGAGCTCCGCAGCAGACTTCTACCCGACAGTCAAAGCGCCATTACGTCACGAAAGTGCAGACTCAGAGGAAGACTGCGAGGGTTTAGGGTGCGATTTGGGACTGGGCCTTCCAGGCAGGTGTGTTGAGGCAAGTTGAAGCTAAACTCTGCAGGACAGTGGCCCTCCAGGACCGAGTCTGGTGACCCCTGCTGTAGATGTTCTAGGAGCATGGCTGTGTGTTCTCTCGCTTTGTGCTCCGATTGATCTTTATTTGATTGTTGTCATTTTAAAAAGATTTTGATTTTACGTTTTTATGATTTAATTATTAGCTTTTCATTAAACTCACAAACCCCAGTTCCTTCATGAACTCCAGTTTGGGAAACTTTGATATAATGTAATGTTTAATGCACTTCAAAAGCAACATATTTATACAATTTCATTATCTCTGTATTATTATCAATGTTTATATCAATATGGTACAAGATTGTCCTATTTAAATTAATGTGATAAATGAGCCAAAAGTAGTCTGATTATGTAATGGATTACGTTACTAACTACTGCCATTTTTGTCATGTAATTTGTAATCAGTAACGGACTACAATTTTGAAGTAATCTGCCCAGCACCACACACACACACACACACACACACAGACACACGCACACACACTCACATGAACACTCAAACACTCACACTCACACACTCGAGCGAGGAAGCGCGGCGCAGAGACGCGCGGAGATCCGCAGGAGGAAGTTACTGCTGAACTCCGAGCAGCGAGCAGCGAAGATCGTGGGCTTCAGCCAGAGCGACGCGGACAGCGGTGAGTCTCGTGACGCGATTAACCTAACCCTAACCCTAACGCGGAGGAAAGCAGCGGACTCCGCTCTGATTGAGATTCACAGCTGCATGAACAAACAGCGTCCCTCATATGATTCATATCATGTACAGTGGCCCCAAAACCGACTACACCTGATGGTACAGAATCACGTGATCAATCACCATGCACTTACATTAGATTCGTCACATAGAAATACTGCATCTGTATTCTAATGTAATGTTTCTTAGTGTACCTATTACAGTGTTCCAAACTGTTTTATCCCAGAGTAAAATGAGTTTGTTTGTTCATCAGGTTTGGAGAAGCGTAGCATTGCATCAGTGTCTCAGCAATGGATGCTCTGCAGTGAATGGGTGCCGTCAGAATGAGAGTCCAAACAGCTGA